AGTGTTTGGGGTCGTCTGACAAACTGTCTCCGGCCACTAGACCCAAAAAGAACAATCTTACTTTCATCAGTCCACAAAATGTTGCGCCATTTCTCTTTAGGCCAGTCAATGTGCTCTTTGGCAAATTGTAACCTCTTCAGCACATGTCTTTTTTTCAACAGTGGGACTTTGCGGGGGCTTCTTGCAGATAGCTTGGCTTCACATAGGCGTCTTCTAATTGTAACAGTCCTCACAGGGAACTTTACACCTTCTTTGATCTTCCTGGAGCTGATTGTTGGCTGAGTCCGCGCCATTTTGGCTATTCTTCTATCCATTTGAATGGTAGTTTTTCGCTTTCTTCCACGTCTTTCAGGTTTTGGTTGCCATTTTAAAGCATTTGCGATCATTTTAGCTGAGCAGCCTATCATTTTCTGCACTTCTTTATATGTTTTCCCTTCTCCAATCAACTTTTTAATCACGGTACGCTGTTCTTCTGAACAATGTCTGGAACGACCCATTTTCCTCAGAATTTCAGAGAGAAATGCACTGTAACCAGCATGTACAACATTTGCTGCCTTCCTTCCTTAAATAAGGGCAATAATTGCCACCTGTTTTTCAAAGAATGAATGACCTCACTAATAGAACGCCACACTGCTATTATTGTGAACATGCCCCTTTCAATTAGTGATTCAATGACACAGAATCAGCAGCATGCATGTCATGACTGTTGGGTCTGTTGGATTTCTATTACTCTACTACACCTGCTAGTAAATTATTTGCCATGTAGAAATATAATTTCTACCAAAAACAGGGATTGATCCGGTTAGTGATGTCTGACTGCTATTATTTTGAACACAACTGTATATCTGTATATATATATATTTATTTATTTTTTTTTTTAAATACAAAAAATATACTTAGAAACAAAAATATACATATATATATATATATATATATATATATATAAAATTTATTTATTTCAGGTACTTACTTATAGCGCCGTCCATTTACGCAGCACTTTACATATATATTGTACATTCACATCAGGCCCTAACCCTCAAGGGGCATACAATCTAAGGTCCCTAACTCACATTCATACATACACATACTAGGGACAATTTAGACAGGAGACAATTAACCTACCGGCATGTCTTTGGATATATATATATGTATATATATTTTGTGTTTTAGGGCTCAAATAACATCACAAAGTGTGTGTTACTGTGTACATAACGTGTACATTGTGATAGCGGGCCACCATGTGCTGCAATGCACTATTACAATGCAGTGACGTACTTGTTTTTTCCCAATTTGTTGTAATTCTTATGGGCTGCAGCATGTTGCGAAACGGAACTAATGCACTGTGTAAAAATGCAACCCCACTTCTATTCACCGTGCACCAACGCAGTACATTAGTTTGCATTGAAACCATAGGATGTAAGGCAAATTGCCTTGTTTTTGCTTTGGGACTATGTTGGGCAATGTTGCCAAAAGTTTCTGGCATGTATAAGCCCTTAACCACTTCCAGTCCGGACACTTTCACCCCCTTCCTGCCCAGGCCAGTTTTCAGCTTTCAGTGCTATCACACTTTGAATGACAATTACGCGGTCATGCAACACTGAACCCATATGAATTTTTTTGCATTTTTTTGAGACAGATAAAGCTTTATTTTGGTGGTATTTATTCACCACGGGGATTTTTTATTTTTTTTTTTGCTATATAAATGAAAAAGTCCAAAGATTTAGAAAAAAAGTGTTTTTCTTATAACATTTTGCAAACAGATAATCTTTCTTCATAAATCTTGGCCAAAATGTATTCAATTATCTTTTTAGTAAAAAAAAACCCAAATTAGTTTATAACCAAAAATATAATTTTTCTAATTTTTTTTATACATTTCTATTTTTTTTAATATTATTATTTATGTGTTTTTTTTACATACTGTTACCCTAACAGTACAGTGTCACAATGGTGACACTGTACTACTTGTGGGGGGTGAATGAAGATTTTTTTTTTTTTTATACTGATTGCTTTTACACCCATAAAGGCTATAAAAGCAATCATTTCTCCTTCTCTCTGGCTGCATTCTTGCAGCCATTGAGAAATACTGTGTGAGCTGTGATTGGTCACAGCTTGTCATATGGTGCTGTGAATAGCCTTGTACCATGTGATCTCTGTGATCATTCACAGATTTCACACGTAGTAAGCAATGATGTCATCATTGCTTACTACTCTTCATGTGATCACTGATTGGCCAATCACTGATCACATGATTGGGACCTCACACAGAGGTCCCGTACAACAACTGGTGTTCAACTGTGTTCTGTGTCCTGAGGACACAGTGGGCACTGGATCGCGGTGCTGCACAGTCCCAAGGAGCGCGCACAAGCAGGGAACGGGGAGGACGTTTATAAACGTCCATCCGCCCCTGCACTGCCACCGTCCAGCCGTTTATATACATGGGCCGGACAGGAAGTGGTTAAAGCAGGGGTGTCAAAATGGTGTCCCTCCAACAAGTCCCATCATGCCTCTGCCTTTGGGAGTCATGCTTGTAACTGTCAATCTTGCAATGCCTCATGGGACTTGTACTTTGGCAACAGCTGGAGGGCCACCAGTTTGGAACCTGCATTCACTATATCTGCTCTCCCACAGCACATAGAACATGGAAATGCAATTATTTTAGTAAATATAAACTGCTAAATATCTTTTCTCATCAGCAGTTGGAGCATTTCTATCAGTGTCCAGCAGAGCACAGGTTAAAGCTTGCAGGAGGAGTTTTCTTTCTACCCTAGGAGGATGCAGAACCCCTGACCTCTGTCTGGACAGTGCTGATTGGCCCTGTGCTGTTCACAAGTACCCTCCCAAGAAAATAAAAATCCTCTCTAGCAATACACACTAAAATGAGCATGTGCATGTGGCTACAGGTTCAGTCTGTCTTATCAGGAGATAAAACGTGGACATTTGAACAAGAGGAGGAGCAGAGAAGACAGGATTAAACGGCCTTTTTACACAATGCAGAGGATTAACCCCTTAGGTTCCACAGTGAGTATAACAAGCATGCTTTCCTGCATATACAGACTGATTGTACTGTTGTGGGTTTAGTAACACTTTCAGCCTGACGCACAAGGTTCATAACGTAATTTGCGGGAAATTCTTGAACAGTTTTACGGCCAAGCGGATCAACCAAGTCCTGGGCTTAGGAGGCAGCCAAAACAATATTGTCGATAGATAAGTGTTCAGAATGAAAAAAAAAGTGGTGGGATGCTTTATAAACCTGACAAGAAAGGCCTTGACATATAGGCGGCAATGTAAGAATGACTTTTTTACCCAAAATTCACACCACAAAGCAAGACTGACCTCACAGATGTAGATATTCGACTTCCTTTGTATCTCTGCGGTGATCACATTGTCATCTTTCAGTCTCCTGAGGGTAAAACAAATCCAGTTTGAAATACTTTTCTACAATTAAAATAAACTGAAAATTGTATTTTTTGTCATTTTTAAATGTTTTTTTTTGTTTTCCGTTTCTACATTTTTAAATGGATGTTTTATATAAAGTGTATGTCTGAAATTAAAAATAAACATATTCGCTGCAATACATTTCCTCATGTCCAAACCATACAAAAATACTGCAACTACAATAAATTATTTGTCGATCTGCCAAAAATCCAGCACACCCCCAATTTCCTGTCTGGGCCGACAACACGGGGCTTTTGCTGAACTCAAATTCTTGCAACATTGTCAGCCCTGCCTGCTGGACTTCAGATCCCCACCTATGCCAGCAAAATAATGTTGCTGCCTTGACTTTCAATAGCCTGGCCTTATACTGAAAGGGCTCTTGGGTGATGTAGTTTGTTTTTTTTTTTGGGGGGGGGGGCTATGTCAATAGGAATTGACATCCCTTACAAACCTGGTGATGTCACATAGAATAATAAAAGTTGTATCCAGGGCTTTTTTTCTCAGAGAATGGGTGAAGGAACTCCCCCTTTCTGAGTCCTCTTTGTCTCCACCCCCAACCCTCCTCTGAGCATGTCCCTTTCTTCCACCCCCTACTCACCTCCCAGTCCCACCCCTTTTAGAAAATACAGAATCAAGTATCATTTTGTGGTGGTAAGTAATTTGTATAGAATTTGTTAATGACAACAAGAAAATAAGTACAATAGATCCCCCCAGCAACAACAGACCCCACCCCAGCAACAACAGATCCCCCACACAACAATAGACTCCCCCAGCAACAATGGACCCAACCCCAGCAACAATAGGCCCCCGCCAACAATAGACCCCACTGTAACAACAATAGATCCCCTGCAGTATCAATAGACCCCACCCCAGCAACAATAGATCCCCCACACAATAGACTCCCCCAGCAAGAATAGATCCCCCACACAACAATAGACTCCCCCAGCAACAATAGGTCCCCCCAAAAATAGACCCAACTCTCGCAACAATAGATCCCCTGCAGCAACAATAGACCCCACACCAGCAACAATAGATCCCCCACACAACCATAGACCACCCAAAACAAAACTTCAACCCCAGCAACAAAAGATCTACCCCAGCATCAACAACAGATCTCCCAATAGCCAACAACCTCTTTCTCAACATTAGATCCCTACCAGCAACATAAGACCCCCCAGAAACAATAGATCCACCACCAGAAACAATAGACCCTCACACAAAAACAGAACCCCACCAGTGACAATAGATCCCACAGTAGCCAGCATCAATAGATCCTCCAGCACACCCCACAACCCTTGCCATTACATACATTCAGTGCTGGAGGTGTCGAAAATGTGTTCCCCCCTGTTCCCGCTGAAATAAAGCCCTGGTTGTATCTCTCTACAGGCACAAGCTATAAGAAAAAAATTAAAACATTGGCATGTTCCAGAGATAGAGAAGGGGGGTGTGGGAATAAACTTGGGTAATGTCAGAAAAAAACCCTTTAAAGCAGGGGACTCCAAACTTTCTAAACAAAGGCCCAGTTTACTGTCCTTCAGACTTTGAGGGGGCCGGACTGCGGCCAGTGGGGGTAGAAAATGCCCCAGAATCAATGGGAGTAAACAATGCCCCATCATTGGTGTCAGTGGGGGGAATGGTGCCCCATCATTGGTATCAGTGGGGGGAATGGTGCCCCATCATTGGTATCAGTGGGAGGAATAGTGCCCCATCATTGGTGTCAGTGGGAGGAATAGTGCCCCATCATTGGTGTCAGTGGGAGGAATGGTGCCCTATCATTGGTGTCAGTGGGAGAAACAGTGCCTCGTTGTTGGTCAGTGTGAGGAATAGTGCTCTGTTGTTAGTGTCAGTGGGAGGAATGGTGGGAGGAATAGTGCCTCATCATTGGTATCAGTGGGAGGAATAGTGCCCTGTCATTGGTGTCAGTGGAAAGAATAGTGCCCCATTACTGGTGTCAGTGGAAAGAATACTGCCCCATCATTGGTGTCAGTGGGAGGAATAGTTCCCTGTCGTTGGTGTCAGTGGTAGGTCCCCAAGTGCCGGATAAAGGCAAGCAAAGGGCCACATCTGGCCCCCCGGCTGCAGTTTGGAGACCACTGCGTTAAAGTAAAACTGTATTTAATTAATAAAAAGCACAAAAAACATGTTTTGCAGAATCAATAGTTCCTGTATGTTTCACAACATTTGTATTTATTTTATTTGACTGCAAAGTCAAAAACTTTCCTATTGATTCTATCAGCCAGTTACAAAGTTTGAGACTTCCTGTGATGTGACAACACTTCACCCTCTGTTCTGTGGACAACATTGTCATCCTCATACCAGCTGTGTCCTTGCAGACTACAATACTCGTGCCAACGCAATGTGGGCGTGTCCCATTAGACACGCTTTGCGCCAAACGCTCCTCCTGCACTGAGTTTCTGCAGTCTTCATGTTTCTGCCCATAAATCAGATGCCCATTTTTGATGCGTCATTTCAAGGAATGCATCGGTGACAGCCAGTTTGTGAAATGTCCGGTTGGGATTATGATCTTAAATTTCTTCTCATGGTAACATAAAAAACCAGATGTTGTTATCTCTGGGCTGGCAATGCTAAAGGAAATGCAGAAGACTTGGCCCCATACGTGATATATGGAAGGTAGTAAATGCCTGGCTCTGATAGAACACCAGTGACACCATCCCTCCCGCTCTGTGTGGTCCGCTCTATTTTTAATCCTGAAGAGGCAAACAAAATGCTTTGCTTCATGCTGTGTCCATGAGTGTCCAATGCCAGGAAAGAGGAAAGTGAGGTCTGGGTAATTATTCTGTTACTATCTCCAGTAATTGCCTATTAGAAGACTGTTATGGCCTCTGCTTCTGGATAAACAGTAATCTCCTTCCAAATTCACAGGTGACCAATCAGGTGACAGCGCTGTAATTTGGGATGTACTGCTAGGGAACCCAGTCACCCTTGTTTCTGAATACACAGCAGTACAGGCCTATCACTATTTCTGAATACACAGCAGTACAGGCCTATCACTATTTCTGAATACACAGCAGTACAGACCTATCACTATTTCTGAATACACAGCAGTACAGGCCTATCACTATTTCTGAATACACAGCAATACAGGCCTATCACTATTTCTGAATACACAGCAATACAGGCCTATCACTATTTCTGAATACACAGCAATACAGGCCTATCACTATTTCTGAATACACAGCAATACAGGCCTATCACTATTTCCGAATACACAGCAATACAGGCCTATCACTCTATTTCTGAATACACAGCAGTACAGACCTATCACTATTTCTGAATACACAGTAGTACAGGTCTATCACTCTATTTATGAATACACAGTAGTACAGACCTATCACTATTTCTGAATACACAGTAGTACAGGCCTATCACTATTTCTGAATATACAGCCATACAGGTCTATCACTCTATTTCTGAATACACAGTAGTACAGGTCTATCACTCTATTTCTGAATACACAGTAGTACAGGCCTATCACTATTTCTAAATACACAGCAGTACAGGCCTATCACTCTATTTCTGAATATACAGCTGTACAGGCCTGTAAGGGGGTGTCAAGGAATCACCACTCAAGCAGGTGGTGCAGGCAGCGAATCATAGATCACCTACTCAATTCCTGGTCAGCTGCCACAAGTAAACACAGTGATCACTTACAGTGGGGATCGAAAGTTTGGGCACCCCAGCTAAAAATTTGTATTAATGTGCATAAAGAAGCCAAGGAAAGATGGAAAAATCTCCAAAAGGCATCAAATTACAGATTAGACATTCTTATAATATGTCAACAAAAGTTAGATTTTATTTCCATCATTTACACTTTCAAAACAACAGAAAACAAAAAAATGGCGTCTGCAAAAGTTTGGGCACCCTGCAGAGTTAATATCTTGTACTGCCCCCTTTGGCAAGTATCACAGCTTGTAAACGCTTTTTGTAGCCAGCCAAGAGTCTTTCAATTCTTGTTTGAGGTATCTTTGCCCATTCTTCCTTACAAAAGTCTTCCAGTTCTTTGAGATTTCTGGGCTGTCTGTCACGCACTGCTCTTTTAAGGTCTATCCATAGATTTTCAATTATGTTGAGGTCAGGAGATTGTGAAGGCCATGGCAAAACCTTCAGTTTACGCCTCTTGATGTAATCCCCCGTGGATTTCGAGGTGTGTTTAGGATCATTATCCATTTGTAGAAGCCATCCTCTCTTTAACTTCAGCTTTTTCACAGATGGCATCAAGTTACCATCCAAAATTTGCTGAAATTTTATTGAATCCATTTTTCCTTCTACTCGTGAGATGTTCCCTGTGCCACTGGCTGCAACACAACCCCAAAGCATGATTGATCCAACCCCATGCTTAACAGTTGGACAGAGGTTCTTTTCATTAAATTCTGTGCCCCTTCTTCTCCAAACGTACCTTTGCTCATTCCAGCCAAAAAGTTCAATTTTAACCTCATCGGTCCACAGAACTTGTTTCCAGAATGCATCAGGCTTGTCTATATGTTCATTTGCAAAGTTCAAACGATCATTTTTGTGGTGAGGACGTAGAAGAGGTTTTCTTCTGATGACTCTTCCATGAAGACCATATTTGTACAAGTATCTCTTTATAGTGGAATAGTGTACCACAACTCCAGTGTCTGCCAGATCTTTCTGGAGGGATCGTGCAGTCAAACGTGGGTTTTGAATTGTTTTTCTCACAATCCTGCGAGCTGTTCTGTCTGATATTTTTCTTGGTCTTCCAGATCTTGCTTTAGCTTCCACTGTTCCTGATGACTGCCATTTCTTAATTACATTCCGAACAGAGGATGTTGACATCTGAAAATGCTTTGCTATCTTCTTATAGCCTTCTCCAGCTTTGTGAGCGTCAACTATTTTCAGTTTTCTAGACAACTGCTTAGAAGAACCCATGGTGCTGATTGTTGATGCAAGGTCATATGAGTCTGGGCATTTAAAACCTTTGAGATTGACATCACCTGGTCTTCCCAGACGATGATTGAGAACAATCCATGACACTGGCAGGTCTCAGCTTGGAAAGGGGGCAGTGCATGCTATAAATTCTGCAGGGTGCCCAAACTTTTGCAGACGCCATTTTTTTGTTTTCTGTTATTTTGAAAGTGTAAATGATGGAAATAAAATCTAACTTTTGTTGACATATTATAAGAATGTCTAATCTGTAATTTGATGCCTTTTGGAGATTTTTCCATCTTTCCTTGGCTTCTTTATGCACATTAATACAAATTTTTAGCTGGGGTGCCCAAACTTTCGATCCCCACTGTACTCACTGCTTACCTCTGGTGCTAGGGGAACCCCACAGAGGACTGATTTGCCCTCTTCACTGAGCTCATGGCGGCCATCTTGGGGGAGCCTGTGTCTGATTGGACTCAGAGCTCTCCTGAAATGTGCACAGCCAAATTGGACATGGAGAGGCTATATATAGTCCCTGCTGTGTCATTCTGGCATGCCCTGCAGTGTGCAGAGTGTGACATAGGGTAAGGTTGTTATCCATCAAACTGGGGACCGTCCCTCTTTTGGGGGTTCTGTCCCTGGGATAGGAGCATCCCTGGCGCTGTGTATAGTAAATATTGCAAAAAAAAAAATGGCGCCACTAAAGCCACCTGCACATGCGCGACATTAGCGATTAACCTGCATTCGTGAACTGATTTTGTGGCTGCATAGTGCAATCACTCTGATTGTTTTTGCCTTTGCAGTTAAATAGCTGCCCACTGTACATGTTGGGTGGCACTTGTGCAGCTCACTCTCTTCCCATGTGCTCACCAAAAGCAGGGTGATGGTGGGGCGGAGAAATGCTACAGAATAGGGACAGAGACCCACTGGTTAGGGACAGACAATCTCAGCATAGAGAAAGGTTCCTGTGGAGGAGGGTCAGCTTGGGGTTTGTCCTATAAACCCTGGAAACTGCCTGGTTTGGGAAAAGACCCTTTCACCAGCCTGCATCGGGATTGACATATCCTGGCATTGTAAGTTGCCAGCACAGGACCTTATCCGCAAGGCCCATTTACAGGCTATGAGTAGCGCCCTCCTGATTCGGTTGCTAGTAGAAGAAGGCTAATTTGGCTTTTGGCTCCTCTGTAGCCAGTGGAGCAAAGTTTGATTGATTTTGGCTGTTCTTGGTCCTGCTGGTTGCAGGCTCAACTACTTCCCACTATCTTCTAGTAAGTTCTGGAATATACTGGGTTGGAAGAGGCAGACCCTGGGCTGTATATTCATACAGCCTCAGTCAATCCCTGGTCAATTGAATAACCAGCAGGGGGCTGAGGTGTGTATAAATAGTCTGGGGCCTGGAGGAGTAGACCCAGCATGAAGGGCTGCTGCCCTTCTTGGCAGATTAGCTGAAGCCTGCAGGAGGTTCAACAATTTCCCAGCTCAAGGAGAGCTGGGGGTCCTGTCTTCTTAGAGATGTTCATCGAGGTCCCAGCTCAAGGAGAAATGGGGATCCTGTTTTCTTAGAGATGTTCATTGAGGTCCCAGCTCAAGGAGAGCTGTTGGATCTATCTCTAAAGCTGCTGAGAACAGTCTGGAGAAAGTCTACTGAGGATCTGGCCTGGAGGCTCATGGTATAGGGTCTGGCTGTTACTGGAAGGAGACATCCATGTATACAAGGACACCGACAGTAGAGAGAGATTAGACCTTGGAGAAATTGTTCGAGTTGCTGGCTTAAGGCTGCTTCCATAGTTGGAGTCCACTACTTCTTATCACTAGATGGTTCATCTTGAAGAGTTTAGCTATTACCAGAGAGTGTCTTCTGTTACAGTTTGCACTAAATTTGGAGCATCCCAAGGCTCACCCTACACCCCAACCAAGTTTAACCAACACTGCTGCCTGGTTATTGTGTTGGGAAACTGCTGTGTGCCTGGCAGCTGTGCACAGGGATGTATTTACCACAAGGCAAACAAGGCATTTGCCTAGGGCAGCATTTTTCGGGAGGGCAGCACCAACCCCTGGAAGAAGGGACACTTGCGGCATGGGGACCAGGTGGGATTCAAGAGAGGCTGTGGGCTGCTTGGT